CTCTCTCTCAATGATTTTGATGGTCTTTGAGTGACAATATTGTTTATGAGAGGCCGAATCGTCGTTTTTGGCAATTTTCAAAATTTCCACTCATTTCATCTCTCTAAAATAATTTTTTACAAGACAAAAATTCAATTATACATAAAACAAATTGCTTATAAACAAAAAATACAATAATTAAAAAATTTACTTATGAGCAAGAAGCTATTTTGTAGCTAAAAAATTAAGATAAAATTTCACTTTTATGTAAAAAAAAATTGCTTATAAATTAAAAATCTACTAATAAGACAAAAAATAACTTATAAAATATAAAAAATTCACCTGTGTAAACTTGTAAGAATAAAATTAAATTACAATATTTTAAAATTTACTTATGGGTGAAAAAAAATTCAATTTTTAAGTTAAAAATGAACTTATATGTAAAAATTACTCATAAGTAAAAACATTACTTAGGAGTAAAAATAATTTCATACAACAAATTATAAATTGAAAATTTAACTTTAGTAACTTACACATTAATTCCATATTGTTTACAAATAACTACTTTTTTATTTTATATACATGCATATATTTAATTTTATTCTTTTAAAAACTTTTAAAATTGCTAGGTAATAAATGCTCAAACATGGATTGGACTATTTTGTAAATGCTACTAAAAGCACCGAAACTTGATCCCTCAAAAAAGTCTAAAACCTATACCTTCATAGCTCGTACCCCTAAACTCCCGAGCATGCCCTACAAGTTAGATGTAATCTTGAAGCTACATTCAAAAGCATGAAATTGTTGTCCTGCTCAAAGTGAGCATGATAAGACTGTCCACTTGTTGATATGAAATGATTATGATGAAACATATATAGAACAATGGCGCTCTTGATCCCTCCAGGGAAAAACTTGATTTGTGGCATTACTTATTATGTTCGTGTTAGTGTTTGCAATTTTTATTCTTTCATTTCAACATTGAGCCTAGCTTCAAGCAGATTTTCAATTACGGTTGAGGTAGTTTTAGCGAGTAACTTATCTTATTCACTTGTTACAGTCTAATCTTATAAAGGGGTTTAAATAATTCAAAGTAGACTTGATCATTTTAAACTCTCTAAACAGCTAACAGCTCAGTTTTACAATGACAAAATAAAAAGAAAAAAATGGAAAATTTGTACCAATGTACTAATTACTCGAGTGCAAGTTAGTGTTCAACCTTTAGAAACTTTAAGCTTCAGTATAGTGGCACAATGAGTTCCTAAAGACCCTTTTGGAACAGAAATTATCCAAATTTCGATTTATTAGTCACTTGTCCTTCACACATTTAACGTAGATTTGAACAACATAATGTAAATTAAATTGGTTTTTGCTAAAAATAGGTTAAGAACCAGAACTACAAATATTAGTACCAGGTACCCTTATTGCATTAAGTACACCGGGCTAGTACGGGGGATGCAAGGAAGAGCACCGCGGTGCCACCTAGAATACCCAACTGGGAAGTAATGACTCCCTACATAAGGACTGACAAATAAGAACTTCGACAACATTTAAACAATCTTGCTTCAGGGGCCATCTCGTGAAAGTCATTGTTCGCAATGAAACCAATTGTAGTAAAAAAAAGAAAGCAAATAGCGAAACCATTACTTGCTGCTCAAGAACTACGTGAAACGATCTTCGATTCGTCCCACTAACTTGTCAAAAACTTAGACAGAGCGAAAATAAGACAGTGAAATGCAGATGCCAATACGTATCATACAAAACCAAAAAAATTTAATATGAAAGTTGAGACTCGCCTCTAAATGTGTTAAGCTGTTAAGCTTTTTCGTGTTTAAGTACAATTCCTTCCGCTTGGCATATTGACTAAGGTGTTAACATAATGAAGTCATATGAGACTCTTTTGAAGGGTCCTAAAAGTAGGTTAGATACCTACATTTCCCTTCTGTGTACACTTTCTTGTCACCAACAATGGGTAAGGTTTTACGTCTCCTTGAATTTTTTTTCATGTCACCAACAATGGGTCACTTGAAATTTTTGAGCTAGTAATATGTTAGTTACTTTAACTTTCTATTCAAAAAATCGATATTCAACGTAGTGAACGAGTATTTGTTTTATTCATTTTGATAATTGTAATTGACTCCACTTAACAAGAGTTATTATTTGTTGTATTCGATTAGTAACGACTAAACAAATATGTTCATAGAAATAAAGATAAAAAGAAGTGAATTTATTCTATATCAGATAAGCCGGTCTGAGGCTGTGGCCAGTGGTTGGAGTGGGATAGGGGCTTGTTTGGTTTCATTTTCTTTGTATGTTTTTGGGTCTTGTTAGGCTTTGTGGCAACTTATGCTTTGTCATAGGAAGCACTTAAACTCTCTGTGGAGAACATTGTGTTGGAGGAAAATCCTCCTTGTATTCGCTTGCTATTTCGTTGCTTAATGAACTATATTTCAAACAAAAAAATAAAAATAAGAAAGGGGTTCTAAGAAATTTTCCTCACATGTGAATAAAATAAACACAAATTCTGTATTAATATCACGTCAACCTAAGTCACATCCACAATATTCAACATACTTTTTCATACAACTTGTTTAAGATATCGACGTGGCAATCGATGGATACAAATTGAAACGATAATTCAAATACAAGAATATTAAAGCTTTACTTGTACATTTTAATCTGCCTTAAATAAAATATAAATTGATCAAGTTGGCAACCTCCAAATCACGCTTTTGCTTTGTTCAATAAATCATTTGAAAACGTATTTTACTACGCCAGGAATGTGAGTATTCATGAAGTAATCGTCCCAATTAATGCTTTTGGGATCGAAGTAGAAAATATCAGTCTCCTCGCAGCTTTCTTTAGCTGATCTTCTCAGTTTTTCTGTATTCATGTCATCATAACTGCGTAACCAAAAAAAAAACTGTTTTTAGATTGAATAAATATGAGTTATATAACCTTTAAAACAAAAAATTCCATACAAGATCAGGAAGTTGCTTTGATGTAAATTTATAAAAGATCAGAAAGTACTTACACTCCTTTGAAGAACAAATAAGGCCCATAAAGTTCTATTAACCTCATTACAAACTTGATCTTCCGATGCAGATTAAGATAAGTGCCCTGAAAGTACTGGCAACATGCTGCATTTACTATTTGTAATCCCTAAAAAAAATGAGAAAAGAAAAAAAATAGAAAACCATAAAAGTTAGATGGCAGAAAAAAAGGGACATTTAACTTAATTTTATTTCAATTAAGTCTCTCTCGATTATGTTCGCATTCACTAACTAACGGTGTTAACCTGCTAATGAGTATGTTATATCTATCGTATGTGTACATTTTTTGAGAATAAAACTAACCTTCAGTGGAAGCAAGTAGTGAACCGCCATGTATTGGCGGAAACTAGCCATGGTGCTCAACACCGTGACCTTGCCAACAATGACTGGCTTGCCATCCTTATTTATCCATGGGTGTTTGGTGAAGTATTGGAAGCCATATTCTTGAAGCCAAGTAAACTCCACAGGGTTTGAAACAGAAGATCCAACATGGTAAATGCTCTCATTAGGTTGATTTGCATGAGCCACCATGGCTACCACTATTGCATTCACCACCATATCTGCTGGAATCTGCATAATATTCATTATAAGTGACACATACAAGTCAATATGTATGTTTCGAAATAAGTAAAATCATTTTCTTGGAAAATTGTAAACTTTTTAAGTCACTTATTTTGTATGAACAGTGGTTGTGTTGGTAGTATGAAAAAATTTGTGGGTAAATTTTGGTGTACACATTAGAGGTGAGTTGTGCTGGACCAAACATAAATCTCGTACAAAGGAACTATAAATTCAGAGCAATGCTGTGTACAAAATTGGGTTACAAATGAGTGTGACAAGATCAAGGCGAATGATTTCAAATTACTCATTTTGTCAAACAATTTTGTAACCCAATTTTGTACACATAGCATTGCACATAAATTCATTATTCATAGATGTAAGTCTAAGGACACGAAAATGACAAGGAGAGTGGTTGATATTTGCACATAAATTCATTATTCATAGATGTAAGTCTTAGGACACGAAAATGACAAGGAGAGTGGTTCATATGGACACTTCTTAAAATTAGATGTTCATTGTGTTATTTATTTGAACACCATGGAAAAAAAAAGAGAAAAGGCAACTCACCACGTCAATTATTGTTTTGGGATCGCCAAGGAAGCATGTTATTTTACCTTTACCATAACCAACAGCTAAGCTATCAATTGTTCTGTAGCCACCAACCAAAATTGTATATTAGCAAAAAAAAAAAAAAAAGCAAAAAAATTATNCATAACCAACAGCTAAGCTATCAATTGTTCTGTAGCCACCAACCAAAATTGTATATTAGCAAAAAAAAAAAAAAAGCGAAAAATTTAGTAGAAACATTACTAGTATAGAAAACTATTTGTAGCAAACAAGTCTTCCTAATCTCTTAGGGTAAATAAATATAAAATTTAAAGTAATAAAAAAACGCTCGACACAAACACACATAATTTGAGAATAGTTTTGCTACATATATATCAAGTTTGACATTGTGTGAGGTGACGACTTTTTGTAAATACCTGACACCTTCAACCCAGCCAGGAAAAGGCTCTTTGTAAGTACTAGTAACAATTGTAGGACGAATGATAACAATAGGTATATTATCTTTCAAGTGTCCCAAAAGCATCTCCCCCATTGCCTTCGTAAATACGTAAGTATTTGGCCACCCGTACTTCCTTGCTCTGCATATCGATTCATAAATCAATTTATTTATATATTGGCACACAAAATTAAATTGAAGCGTCAAGGAATAAATTACCGAATAAATACGCAAGGCACGAGCACAAAATACCTTTGAATTCCCAAATTTTTCATGGCTGATTTAATGGATTCTTCAGAAGAATTTTCAGCCCTCAGCTGATTCAATGTCTCCTCCACCACATTCTTCTCTGTATCAATGTCCAATCCAGATGTCCCATTCAGTGTCTCACCCAACTTGTAAGAGTCCTCTTTTATTAGTCCCTCCGTCTCACCAGACACATAAGCTGAATTCGTCAAATCAAATAATTAATCGACAATATTGGAACAACATGTGAATAATTGTGGTCCAAGAATCAACTTTAAGAATCAATGTGGTCCAAGAATTAAATATTCTTTAAGAATATGTTTAAGGTTGGGTTGGACAACATACATCTAGCTTGTTATATGCATGATGTATTTTTTTTTTTTTTGAATCCCAAGATTTTTTGAAATTTTCTATGTCGTCTCTCGAGTGCCAAATTCGTTAATTTTTAGTCACATAAATTTTGGAATGTTTCTAGTTCGACCTCGAGAGTTTTGTAGTCTATGGGTTGACAAACGATAAGAAATATAACATATTAAAAAAAAAAAAATTGATGGAGAGTGTCATGTTTTGTTCTGTTGATCTTAAGATACTAACCAGTTGATACATGAACAAGAACCTTTAGCTTGGCACAATTTTTAGCAAAATCCAAAACATGTTTTGCTCCAAATGTATTAATTCCAAGAGCAACATCGTATCTGCGGAGGATCCAAACAACATTAATTTAATTTCAATTATAAGTCTATTTTAATAAAATAATAATAATAGTTTGGTAGCACATACCTTTCATCAAAATTGGTCGTTGCAGCTAAATTAACCACTACATCTATCTCTTTCAACATTTGCTCCAACAAATAGGAATCCTTAACCCCCAAGTTGGCACAAGTAATATCACCAGCCACAACAATTACTTTTTGTGAAATTAGGGAATTTAGATTTCCGCCCCATTTTTCTTTAAGAATACTGAACAAGTCCTTTGATATCACCTAAAAGAAGTCAAAGTAGTGGGATTATTAATCTTAAATTATTTTGTCAAATCAATCACTTAAAAAAGCATGTAAAAGTCTTGGACTCAAGTCTTCTTAGTACTAATTTACGAAAATTACGCACATGTGAGATCTTTGAAAAAATTGAATACAATTTGCCAAAAACTGTGCGTTTATAGTACTTCTAAAAGGTAAATTTGTCCAAATTCTAAACACTTAGTCCTAGGGGTGGGCATTTTTTCCTGAAATATGGCTGAACCAAATAGAACCTATCGGATCCGTTCTAGTTCCTTTACTAAATGGGTCGACTTTGGGGTAATGCATCGAGAACCGGTCAGTTTGTTCTGGTTTTCAGTACTACCTTGAGAACAAGTAATGAATTCAGTTCTCCAAAATTTCTCTTTTTGCTTATACCAAAGTGTACTGGATTTTTGAACGCTAGACCATAAAATTATTCTCAAGTTAAAATTTTATTTTTCATGTGCTTCTACTTTCCTTTAATGGGTAATCAAAATTCAAGTTTAAATAATTTTATAAATACTTTACAAAATTCATAGTTTTAATACTACCCAATAGGGAAAAATAATATTTGTAGTTCAATATTTCATAAGCCTTCAATTTTTTCATTGTTTCCAAAATAGCTTGTCATTGAGAATCAAGATCGTTTAGAATTATTTTAGGTATACGTATAAAATTATTTTATTGGAAGAATATGACTGAAAATGAGTTTGGGAAAAAATAAATTTTAGAAAATAAGGATCAAATAAGGTGATTGTACACTCGCATACACCTTGTCTCAGTTCATTGTGTAGTTACCTCATTGTTGAAACGTAGAATGGCTGACTTTGAATCTGCAGCTCTTAATAGAAGATAGAGTTTCTTCACATTTGGTTGAACCCTAAGAATCTTCTCAGTAAAAACTGCACAAGTATATACAAAATTGATGTCATTAATAATGACTACGACTGCTTATTTGGTATGGCAGAAGCTAGAGTACTCGACAATTCACACCCTTCTAGTCTGTTGCATTGTTTCAATTGAGTCTACAGAACATGGCCGAGTACATGAAATTACATGCAAACATACTTCGTGTCTTACACAGAGAGAGCACTCTTTTTCATGAAGTGTACAATATAAGAAAGTAAACAAAGTTCAAAATTTGTCTAAGTGTTCGTTCTTGTTAAGTACTGTCTACCAAATGTGAATACTCATGCATGTTTACTATGTGTGCTTGTTTTCGTGAGAAATAGAGATAGTACGTACTCTTTGCCAAAAAGCCAGTGGCACCAGTGACAAGAATGGACCTGTTCTCTAAGAACTGCAGAATACTGCCCAACTCCATTGGTGAGGTTAATTAACAAAAGCAATAGAAAGATATGTAGAGGGAGAGAATTCTAGTTTAAGAATTGAGAGAGCTCAAACCATAAGACAGAACTAATTAACCAAGAGCCTAGAGAAAGTAATGATATATGAACGGGGTGCAGGTCACATATGGTTGTGGACTTTGGACCCAGAAATATGATATAAACGGTGAAGTGCACGCAACATATTTGTGATTTCTTTGGTAGATTGGCGGTGGTGCCTGCATATCAATTTTTTACTATGATCCTAAAATATGAACAACTCACGTTAGACGACCCACTTGTTTTCCCCAGAGTTTGCTTTTTAATGAGGTCATTTTTTTTGCAGTAAAATATTGGTATGTGTAACGTCAACAATAATTATATACTTGGGTTCTCATCCACCATTGGTGACATTTTTAGATAAATAGTTGTAAGTTGTAACCAACCAATCTACTCAAATATTTGGCATCATCACTACTACAGTAGTTCGTCCTTTCGTGTCTAGTAAATTAAGAGAAAAAAATGTTCAACAAACTTTTTTAGTGTGGGGGTTTTTCGTGGCTTCGTTGATGGAATTTTCCTGTCGCCAGATCTAAAGGTGATTTCTTTATTGGTGATGGGCAAAGAACTATAAACATCTTAGCAAATTTGCAAGGAGCTCGGCAATGGCTAGTATTTTTGTTGATGGTGATCTACGATGGAGGAGTCATCTTCTTGCTTCAATTATGTCTTCGATAATATTTCTATCATATAAATTTCAAGATATTACACAATAATTAGGAATTACTCTAGGTTGAAATAACTTTCACTTCATAGCTTACTTGGCATCTGGAAACTTTGTAAAACTTTTTACAAATATAAAATACTCCAAGAAAGGCAACTTTTCAAACCCAAAATACTTTGTAATATTTCCAATAGCATAAAAATACTAAAATAACCTAAAAACACCAGCTTCAAAACAAAAGGCTATATTAGGATTGTACTTTTTTTTTCTTTAGAGGAAGAATGACGGTACCTTCAAGAATTTATTAATATGTTCTCATTTGTGACGGAGGGAAACTGTGGTTACAATTGAAATGAAACAAAGTTAGAAATGGGGAAGTACTACTTTCCTTACAGCAGAAATAAAATAAAGTAGTAAAAAATGAAGTACTATTTCCCTTACATGTGCAGGTTTTTTCAGGAGACTCTTAAGAATGATTTTCATTTTTTTTTTTCATGTATAGGTTTTTCCTATGTACATCATGCTTATATAAAGTATTATAACTTGTCAATTTTTTTTTATATTGGATTCCTCTCATAAATAATATATAAAAATAAATAAAAGGAAAATAGTTTTTCTAATGAATATGAGTTGGGTGTTGACATGTTAATTGAGTTTGAACGTCATGTGATAAATTACTATTTTTCGTACTTTAGAATATAAAAATTTAATCATTTATTCATCTATTGTGGATGCAGCATGGCGAAGACGTTATTTTTCATATTGTAAACATGATAATTTTAAAGTTTAATTCTTCGTTGGGATATTTATAAATAATTTATATAGAGGAATGGTATGAGTAATAGTAGTAGGCCTCAAAAAATGTGTGGATAATAATTAATAATAGATATAAATGTGTGATTGAAATTAATGTTTTAATTTGATCGAATTTATAAACTAATTAAAAGTTTGTGTCTGAGCCCACATTTGGTGTCCATTATTTAAATATATATATATATTTTTTTTTGTTATAGAATTATTTTTAATCATACATTCACCCAAACAAATATCATGCACATAAAAATTTTAAACTCAATTTTTTTCTTACTTTTCAATCACACGTTCTCTATTACTCAAAACTTTTTTTCTTTTTTAAAAAGGACGGCGGCCAAAGAAAATATGGGAAGAGTTATATCAGCTTCTAGGAATCAATTTTTTCTTTCTTTCTGAAGTGACATCCGTTGAATGTCTTCTACTACAATTATTTATTGGTGTGTAACTTTTAATTTTATTTGCATTGTGGTCCTTGTAGATATTATTTGAAACATGACAATAATTTGTGGATGTTGAATGTCAAGAAGATATTCAATTCGTTGGGATATACTATCTAATGTCATTTGACATTCGTCAAGTTAGCGTGCTAAAATATGTTGTGTAGAGCTTCATCTACATTTAATTAGAGTTTATGTTGAAGTATTTTCAATACATTTTATGAATGGCTAACTAGGTGTCATCGATGTCTAACAAATAAACACTCGAATTCAAAATTAGTCTCTAATACATTCTAAGGGTGACTATCTGGATTTTAGTTGTTTAAGATATAAATAAAACTACTAAATTTGGATACAAAATATAAGTATTAACAGAAAATATTAATTTTGCTGACTTCGTGAAACAAACTTCTTTAAATGCTATTCTGTAATACCCCAAATTTTCATAAAGCTTGGAGTGTTGCCAAAAATTTACTTCTCTTTATCTTAAACGTTGAAAAATAAAAAATAATTTCTTAATAAAAAAAAAACTGGAACACCCATAAATTTAAACAAACATCTTTAAAAAATATATAATCCCTTAACTAATTAAATAATAAAACTAACCGATAAATTGAAGGGAAGAAAAACTTAATTTTTATTTTTTCCTTCGATCTAGTTGACAGCCTGCATCACCATCCTACCACAAATCCAATCGACTTGAACTAACTTGTAAAATTAATGTAATAGCGAGTATTTAAAAATACCAAATAAGATATATTCAGTTTCCATACACAATAATAAAATAAACACTTCATACTACATTTCATACGGACTTGAACTAACTTGTAAAATTTATTTTATTTTTCAGCATTTAACGTAAATAACATGTCATTCTACGTAAAGCCAGTACTCCTGTCTTTAAAAAAAAATGTTCAGAAAACACACGCTTGCACATACAAACCTGCAAGCCAACTTATTCTAGTATCCTGCCTAACACCAACTGGGAATTTAAATCAGAATAATTAATGTTTATTGAATTATGATTTTCACTAAAAATACAAAATATAAATTCCTATCTTATGTCACATTCATCAGTGTATAGGTGCGACTTAAATTGCGTGTGATTGCATGTGGAGTTTTATACAGATATATGGCTGGGACATTTAATTATCAATTTAGCATGATTGCGTTGGCGAGAAAATTCAAAAAGTGTCTTCTTCTTTAACACTGGAGAAATTCAGCAAAGATTTGTAGTCAAAAGATTAGACAAAAACCACCATAAGAAGGTTTTGAACACGTATCGTTGTGTTAATATCACGATGGATCGATGCTCCTATACTAGTTGCGCTCTTTATTCGCTAGTCGAGTGTAACAATGCATGTGCATAGGCTTGTTCTAAGACATGCCATATATTTGTAACTGGGAAAAAAATTAACCCAAAAAAGATATTTTTTTTTATATTCAATCATTCTGCTATTAATTAATCAAGAGATTGTCGATAAGAAATTCTCGATACTTGGACCACATATCAAATTGATTAATTCAAAAGAGTTATGGACCATATCGAAGATGCCAAAAGGAATATGTCACGTTCATGTAATTTCTTTGTGTGGCATTTAATAGGTAACGGCTCAAATTCTGTGAATCCGATTCAATTGAAAGACACAATGCAAGATTTAACGTGGTAAAACGTAGATGAGATGGGTCTACGTGCAAAAATCTATCAAGATCAGATGCATTAATCAAAATTAGAATAAGAATAAACATAGATTTAAAATACAACTAACAAGTTTTCAAGTTTTATTTCGATTGCAGTTCGCATGTAATTAAATTCATCGTCCTTAATCTTACATTATTTTATCTAAATCTTTCAACTAGCCCAACGTACCAAATGTGCTATAAATATTTAGTCGAAGAATCATCGACTTATAATCCATTAATTCTCTATAATAATTAAATGGAAGGGGAGTCCCTTTTATGTATCTGATTTCAATTGTTTAGTGCAACTTTTCGACTGATAATGTGTGAAAAAGATTAATCAACGAAAAATTAGGGATTAATTCTCTCTATAGAATTATGCATAGTCCAGGGGTTTAATAAAATTACACAGTGACTGGAGTAAATACTAGAAACTTTTCATGCTTTCTTCACATACTTGTATTTATGAAGCCGACCAACTACAATTTGATAGGATCATCCCCATATTTATTAGTGTCACTAAGTGGCACAAAGGACCAGCTCATGCCATGTTACGGGACCAAACCTCTTGAACAATTCTTATATTTGAAGATTAACGTGCATCCTTTTCGATCGTTAAAATTGAACTTCGGAGTAATATTAACAACGTCTAGATTGATTTTTAGTATTCATTACGTGGTGCCGTGGTGGAGTTTTCATCTAGTTACATGTGAAAACTATGAAATATTTTGAAGTATTGTCTTAAAGCTGTCTTCTAAGTCGCCCTTTTTTTTTTTTTTTAAATGATACATTAGAGATTTGAAGATGTGCAAGATATCGCAGTTGTATATGCATTCCTTGATAGGAGTATAACTTGATTTTCTATCCTTTAATATTCCGTTAAAGTTGGACCACGAATGTCAATGACTCCCAACTTGCTAAGGTGTGACTCGAATTCCTAGTGGTAACTCAACAAAATCATAATATATGTCTAAATTATCGTGTTCTGGTGAGGATTTGGACATATGTTCTATTGCACCAATGTCTATAGTCCATTAATATAAAGTCGAAAATAAACTACGTTAAATAGTATTCAAAACTGATGAGAGTGTACTTGACATTTGCAGTTTGCATATAAATGAGTATTACCATTTCCTTTGCAAAGCAAGGCCATAAGTTGGTGTTACTCTACCGTAGTGAAAGTGCCCCCTTCTATAGTTGGTACTTTGGTTCATTCCTCCAATGGTTGGGCACACACTTGTAAAAATGGTTGATTAGGATTAGAGATATGTTGGGCAAATGATACAATTAGGGGATAGGACTTTATAAGTACTATTTTCTTGCGCCCTTCTAAATAGTTGGCACT